CATCTACACCAAGAGTAGGCAAGCTTTGGTACGCCAAATGTGGACTACATCTAAATTATTGCTGGCAAAGTATCACTCAATAACTAGAGTGCCAAAGTTCAACTACCACTGATGAACACAATGCTATGTAAAAATTTTTAGCATTATTTACATGAACAGGCAAGATATACATTTTGTACCTTAATTGTAAAAAAATTAGTTAAATAACTCATTTTCATTTCTACCACCACTTTGGTACAGTTACAAGTGGATTTTTTTTCTCGTTCGTTTATGATGTACATATGTCAATGCTAATTGTAATTAAACATCTTTACATTTAAACACATCAGATCATTTATTATATGATGGTATTCTGTTTATCTCAAACCCCCTCCATTCTTCCCACCATTCGTTCTTGAGTTTGGATCCTGTATTTCATTTGATTGACGCACTGCTGGCTATCACAGTAAATTTCTTTCTTACTTAGAGCAGCAGTTGACACATAATATAATTATAAGTACCTCTGTTAGCTTGTGCATTTAATCATCTGACTGGCAGTGGATGAGAGAGTTGCTTAGCAACATAACAAACAGCCCTACGGCACCTAAAGTTTTAATACATATTGATTACATTTCTGCATAGTAAAGAGAATTTTATTTCAGGAAAAAAATCAGGACCAGTTGATACCCTAGAGATGCAGCAATAAACTTTTGCCATACACCACGCTTTGGTATAGATGTTTAAATGTCTTGTATGTTCGATCACAAGTAAATTTTCACTTTTGAGGAAGCCGACATACAACCCTTTGCACATTGAATTAGTTAATCAACATCTTGGTGTTAAAAGAACTCTACGTGTACCATAAACTCTAAAACTCACTGTAGTGGTTATGGTACTAGTAGTGACCTAGCATCTCCCCATTGTAAGTAATCAGACAATGTGCGAACGGTTTGACTTTTAAAAGACTGGTAAAAGAGTTTGGTGATTGGTGAAGAATTGCTGTAGGTCAGGACAGTGGAGGTTTCTGCAAGATTGATGTATATTAGATGTTATGATTTGGTTTGGTGGTCATGCTGATACCAAAGCTTAGCAGATGATGGTCTGACAGAGCCAGTGGAACAGTAGAGATATTAGAGGTTTTGCAGAGATAACTGAAGATGAGATCAGATGTAATAGTTGATGAATTAGTCCATTGGGCATGTCCTAAGGAGTAGGACCACAGTGATGAGTCAGGAGATGTCAGAGCTATTAGGGGTGTTGATTGGTATGTTAAAGTCCCCAATGAAGAGCATTCAGATGGACACACAGCATTTTTCATTTCCTACAACGGAGTATGCATTTGGCTTATTCTGTGCACATGGGTATATTGTAGCATTTACTATTACACTGCATTACTGGTAAGTGTACGCGTGATATTACCTATTGTACACCACGCTAATATGTATTACAATGTATGTGTATCCATCATACTTGCATGATATGTTTACCTTGTATCTACATCCAAATAAATATGTACCATTTCACCTTTGTCTGTAGAGTCCCTTCTTTTAGTAACTGAAAACTTAAATCAAGACCATTTTATAGACCGTTAGCAAAATAACTTAAATTTATGTGTAGCTACTGATTGGCTTAGAGCATCAGCAGCACCACACGCTTCATGTAACTCCAATTTAGAAGCCGGATGCCACCTGAGGAATTTGGAGATCGGTGCTTGCGGTTTAATCCCTTTATGGTGCCAAGAGGCCCCTCAGCATTCTCTTACCTGAACATCTTCATTTAGATTGTTATGGTGACTGGAGTGTTCCTTTAAATTCACTAAATGCTGTTTCAGGAAAGTCTAGGGCACAATGTAAATAAAAAATAAAAAAAGCACAAACCATAGCTACCTTTTATTTGGCTATTTAGAAATACAAAATGACATGTGACACTGCAAAATATCCAAATAATATGACTGATATAAGGATTTTGTAGGGATTTATGTTAGTAGACTGTAAGTGATTATCTCCCCAATCATGGTGAAATTATTTTTAAGCAGGTTACCAAGAAACAAGGTACTCAAAGTTTATCCACTTTAAAGGAGGCATCATAATGGTAAGTTGCTTCCCTATTTTAGAGTCTATATTAGCTATGCCTAGAAATTGTAACTGTTTTTCTGAAATATATTTTACAACATTCATCAACTTCCAGAATATTGGATATTCTGGACTGGCTGAAAACCATGAATGTGGTTTTCAGGAGCACATGGCGCTCATTGCCCTGATGAGATTATCCATACCAAATCACCTTCCCAGATAGTTTACTCAGTCACAACTCACATGAAAGAAGATTTGGCGATGTTTCTGTTGTATGATCTGTAGAATGTGCAGTTACAACAGGTAAAAGAACGATTTTTCCATACAAGTTAGGAGAGATACAACATGTCACATTGAAGGTACAGCATAAAAAAGGGACTAATACAGGAAAGGTGGAGGGGGTGTACCTGAAGCAGCATGCAAACTACGGAGGGGCACAAGAGACAAACTTAAGATTAACGTTAAAGAAACAGTACATTTTAATAGAATGATATCATTTAACATGACATTAGAAAACGGATCACAGATGAAATACATATTCATAAAGTTACTTTTATCCTACTGTTCCAGAATTGATGCTTTTTATAATGAAATTTTGGTTTATTTTCCAATTTACTAAAATGCTTACAATATGGAAATCTTTAGATGTAGAATTCCACATACCTTACGCAAACGCTGCTTACAGCTACAGTTTTTTAAACTGAGAACACTATACTCTAACCATTGTTACTATACTCTGAATGGGGAAAGGGAGGACTGCTTTCAGAGTCTGATGATCACTGGTTTGCTACCCTTAGCCTGCTTCTAAAGTTAAAATACAATACTTTTTGTCGTAATAGTGTATCTAAGTGTCTTAAAGGTTTACTCCAACCAAAAACACAAGTTTTGGTTAGAGTAACCATTTCTGTGGTGGTGTGTCACCACCCCCTCCCCCCCATGCTCTTATTGCCATGGTGGAGGCAAAGTTCAAGAGTCTGCACAGATGGGGGAGGCATGCCAACTTTGGCTGTCTGGCTCTTAGCATGCTGGTGTCTGCCATCAGTTTCTTACTGTATGCTGCACATACAGAATCCAGGCACCATGACCACTACAAATCATTGAAGTGGTGTTGGTGCTTGGAATAACCCTTTAAATTTATTTTTGTTTCTGCCCTTGCAAATACCATTAGTAGTCAACATATTGAGTTTTTGGTATGAGCATTAGGCTGCTACTAGGATAGGACCTGCCGAATATGGGGTACTTTGACGTAGTTGGCAGGCTTATGCAATGTATGAGCATATAATGTAACTAAACCCCCATCATTTTTTGCCTAGATGAGGTGTTTTTAAATCAAACTATTACAATCTCTAAGATTTGAAATCATTTAGTGAATAAGCGAGTGTGCTGGATTCTGTATTTTGTATATTTTGGCCCCAGCAGCACCCTATAATGTATGCATGTTCAGGTGAGTGCAGCCCTCTTGGCTTCATATGTATTAAGGCAATTTGCCTGGATTTGTGGGAGGTGCTGGTTTGCTACCCCTTGGCTCCTTACCGTTCGAGGTCAGTGTTGAATGAGGATCCACTTTCGGGTTCTCTCAGACGCCATCTTGATTTCAGTATCCACAAGGTTTTACCGCGATAGCTGTGTCCAGGAATCCTGTTCAGGCCTTTTCCGCCCGTCCAGCTTCTTCTGACCCCGGTCTTCGTCGTAGATCGCGTCCCAGGGACTCCTAAATCGTAAGTCAGACCTACCTGTCACGCCAGGACCGGTTCCCACGGTGTACGGTACAGCACGGGTCCTCGCTTTACGTTTTTTTCCCTGTTATGTCACGAATGGTACAAGCCGTTCGCGGGTTTTTCATTCATACGGTCATTCGGCTGAACAGTATATTGGTACAAATAGTCATTTCGCATATAACTATTCCATGTTACATTGAAACGGGTTATCAATTCGGTTGTTTTGTTCGGCAAGTTTCAATACACGTTCAAACACGCTTGCGGTTCGCATAAGTTCATACGTTTAAACTATTCGTTCCAACTTCTGTTTTCCCTCACATTGGGGTTTCGGTTGTATTTCTATGTATTACGCATAATCCTTTCGTGGATTATATTCACCATTTCATGTATATGCCACCTTAAACTTAAAATGTCATATAACACCATCAAACTCTATCTTACTGGCATTCAACACCACATGCTAATCTTACACCTAAATAACAACAGGTTCATGGCCTCTCACCAAATTAAGACCATACTCAGAAGTATTCAGAAATCAGAACCCACACATACAACCCAGAGGCTACCCATAGATAACCATATCTTCAAAGCATTGTCTAACCTGCTTGACTTAAAACCGTTTGACACCAATAAAAATTCTGTCATCAAAACAACAATATACATCGCTTTCTATGGATTTCTAAGATCTAGAGAATTCACTACAACCTCCACGAATCAAGCTACTCCGTTCCTCCTCTATTCCCACTTGACAAATATGGATTATTACATCCTGACTTTATCTCACTCCAAAACCAGTCAGCACATACCCGTAAACATACCGTACTATCCCACGCACAACAGATGGTGTCCCGTCAGGGTTCTTGATGCCTACATACAGCATCATAACTTACTGCCCTCACAACCATTACTATAGCTACAAGGTGCAGTACTCACCACTACAACCTTCATGACCTACATCAGGTCCTTGCTCACACAACTGGGCACTCCTTTCGTATAGGAGCCGCGTCCACAGCCTCCAGTGTCAACATCCCAACTCATGTTATCAAAACACTGGGGCGCTGGAAGTCATCCGCTTACTCAAGGTACATACCGAACCCAGTACAAGAACTAAGGGATGCTTTCAAAAACATGTCTGGTTGATAAATGTATATGTATTGGTTGTCTGTAATAAATTTGATTACTTAATTTTTGCCCTCTTCTTTCTCAGGCCTACCTCATCGTCGGTTCCGGCACACCACAACCGACTTGCTCTTTTTACTATCCTACATTTATTTATGGTATTTCACACTGTACTATATATTTGTGTTAGGTGCTTATGATAGTACAGTGTGAAATACCATAAATAAATGTAGGATAGTAAAAAGAGCAAGTCGGTTGTGGTGTGTATCGAACGTTATCTTACATTAATAACCAATAGTCTGGTTATATAAAACCAGACTATTGGTTATTAATGTAAGATAACGTTGGATACTCAATCATAGGACATAACAGGGAAAGGGTTGGGTGACCTCTTTTGGAAGGAAAAATGAGGAATGTCTGAAGAAAAACATTGGAGGGGGAGAAAACAGATACGAAAGAGGTGTGTGTGTGTGTTTGTGTTTCTATACATATTTTTTTTTGTTTGTTTAGACATGGGATACAAATAAAGCAAGCTGTAGGTGAATGGCTTGACATATATTTTGCTAATGTATAATACTGCTGAAGTGGCACCAAATCCCTAAGTAATGAACGTGAGTACTGTCCACACAGAATATTTTTTTTGAAAGGTGGAAACCTGTAAGGTTAGCTGTGGTTGTCTGCTGATCTCATAATTGCATAGATTTTGATGCTGAACACTGCTCTCCGCAGACCTGTGTCTTTCTGCTGTCAATTATGTTGCAGGATGCTGCTCTCTTGCTTTCTTTTATCCCAATATACCCCAGAGTCATTTTCTGTGCAGATCGCCACACCTATATAGGCCCCTTTTAGCTCTGACACACTGCTCTGTTGGTATCTTCTTATGATTCCCAGTAGCACGTGTATTCTCCGTGTGCATCTCTTTCTTATTGGGCTAATTTGACCCTCCTGCAGTCTGTAATCCCTTTAGCTCTGTATACGTGTATCTTTGTATTACCTGCACCTTGGCCCATTCTTTGACTACTCTCTTGCCATTTTAACCCTCTAAGGGCTTAGTGTTAAGAATGGCCACCCAAAGGACTAGTATTACTCTACTGTCCCTTTTCCAATCTATCTGGAAAGCAAATGTTCTAGTTCTTAATGTTGGGTATATCCTTTACTTTGACAAAACCATAATCAAGTGTATTTAATTTTTAATATTCTTGGCTACTTTATTAGTCAAATTGCATATGTGAGTAAATGATAATTATATGAATGCGAGTTACTAGGGCCAAATGTAATATGACACAGGATTTGAACTGACATATTATGCTTTAAACCTCTTTAATTGTAATGACCTTTCTAAAGCACAGACAGGGAGTGATTGGGAATTCAGTGGTTAAGTGCTTAAATTAGTTCACGGTGCAAAAGCAACAGACATGATAATGTCTCTCTCTGCCTTAACACTGTGCTCCGAATACAGATTAGGTTTGAGGACCTTATCAAACAGTATAAATGCATATTAAGACGAGCATGCTGCTCTGGTAGGTAAGGGAGTTTTCCAGCTACATTATTAGATAAGCAATCGTTTTTCATGTTTGAAGAAAGAACTGCAATTTATTTTAATTTCCTGTTAGCACAAGCTCTAATGAGATTGTTAGGATCTTTCGTTCCATTGTGTGCAAGCCTACTCTCTTTCAAGAAATATGATATTCTCCCTTTAGAGAAAATTTAAGGAAAGTGCTACACACCTAATAATTTCTGACCGTTTATATTGCTTCCATATACTTTTCATGGAGTTATCCCTTGAGGCAACAGTCTTAACCTGTATTGAAGGTGGCTTCTTTGATAATGGGGCAGCTTGAAAAATGTAAATAGTTACCATGATCATACTCTACATGCCCAGGACCAAGGATATCCCTGGCCACCCCATGTCTTTCCATTGTACCCAGTTCTGTCTCTACCTTCATAACTCTCCTAAATCCCAGTCTCTCAGGGATATCCCTCCCCTGTGTAGTAACTCTAATTGTGCTCTTTTGTTGTGCATTTGTTCTTCCTCCATCTTCTTCCTTTGTGTTGTCCCTCCATGTGCTAATCATAAATGTTTAAATGCTATGAACAGGCTGCCACCTAACCGTGTATCAGCTGACTATCTTTATACTCTCTCGGCAGCACTCAGATCCTTCATGGGTTCTGTGTATGGAGTGGGTTGGCTTAGGACAAATTAAACACTTTGAATAAGTCAATACACACTTAAAATGGAGAATCTATTATTTTTACTCAACTGGAAGACTTTATGGCTACCCTAGCTTTAAAGCATGGTATATTCAGAGTGGTGTTGATTTTTATTGCTGTCTACAGCTTGTTCCTGCAGGATTTTTAAAGTAAACACTGCCTTTTCATAGAAAAGGATGTATTTACATTACTGCATTGGGACATCTCTAGTGGCAGTCACTAGGATGGCTACTAGAGGTGCTTTCTATTTCAGTGCTGCACAGTGTGCAGCATCTACATTCAAAGGATCCACGCTCCTTTTCCCATAGGGATGCATTAATACAATTTCTTTTAGTAAGCCCCAGTGATGCTGACCGAATCACTCGTGAAGATCACAGTGGGCTGTCCCACCCAGAAATGGGGCAGGTCAGGCCCCAGCCTTCATGACCATGTGTACATTTTTTTTGCTTTTATTGTAAAGTTGCTATATTGATTGTGTCTGGTAGTTATTTTAATTTATTATAAGTATAACTTTTCCCGGCACCCCTGTTTCTGTCGCCGACCTATCTTAACTTTTCACTCACCCAGCCTGCACTCCCGCAGGGGGGTGATCAGAATCCCACGGGCAAACGTTTTGATGTTTCTAAAAATTTTGGAGCTACTTTGTAATTGGGTCGCGTAGACCTGCGATCGCCATGGCCAGTAACTTCCTGTACCACTCCCTCCTGTACTTCCCCCTCCCTCTTAACCCTTCTTCCCCCTCCTTCCCTCTCTCTCCTCTCTCTCATCTTTACCTCTTTAAGGTTATGTCTACTTCTATCACTCCTATCACTACATTCTTCTTTATTCTGACCGACACTTACATTTCGACCATAACAATTGTGAGGGCATTATCTTTCATATGATGAGACACAAGGTAATAACATTAAACTTGTAATGCAACATTGGTGACACTAAAAGCTTAACTAGATATCTCGATTGCTAGGATCCCACCAGAGCACTATAAAGGTCGACAAACCTAGGCACTGGATGTCAGGGTCCTGCTCACAATGGTTGGTCAGATTCTCGCTGTTTTACCCTTTATCAAAAAACCTGACTGGGCACCACTGATGTACAGACTACAGCAGTTGACACACAACAGACTACTGCACTATGTTGACGTTTGTTTCTATAAAAACACACGCTTGTTCACCTCGTGCGAATTTGGATATGTCTTCAGAATAATATTTATAACCCTGTTGTAATGTATGATTTCATGTGGTGTCTTGCCTTAGAATAAATAAAGAATTAAAAAAATAAATGTATAACTTTTACAGCTGATGTTCTATCTCTCTGGAAAACATAACTCCCATTTTTACCTAATTCTCTGGTTAGAATACAGCCACATTTTTCTTTTTGAAATGGTTCATAATGCAATTCCTATAGGATCCCCTATAGCTATTCAGATTATGACATTGAGTAAAGGCTTTTATTCTTGTAAGCATGAATAGAATTATTTATTTATGTATCGTCATAGCGGTCTCTGAGAATTCTGGTAAGCTGTTCATTATTAATAAAGCAATGTCATTTGCTTTTGTCAGCATGTATTAGTATGCTTAGTGGCTAGCACACTCTGGGAATATTTAATTTTTATAAATTGCAAGAGTTTGCTTTCCTCTCATGGGATCACATTGGATGGGTTTTGTGTGTTCTGGCTTGGAAAACCTAAGCTATATGATTTTCACAGTGAGAAGACACCAGCGTCCATAGGAAAGCATTGTGAATGTTTTCCTATGGACTGGCTGAAGGTGCGCGCGGCTCCTGCCGCGCACACGCATTCAGCCGAAGAGGAGGAGAAGAGGGAGGAGAGCTCCCCGCCCGGCGCTGGAGAAAGAGGTAAGTTTAACCCCTTACTTTCCCCAGAGCCCCGCGGGAGGGGGTCCCTGAGGGTGGGGGCACCCTCAGGGCACTATAGTGCCAGGAAAACGAGTGTGTTTTCCTCGCACTATAGTGGTCCTTTAATTCTCAGTACACCGTGTTAAAGCAGCAGGATACTGATAGATTCCTTATTTGCTTTGCAGCTGGAGATATCAATCTGCAGTGATAATATGGAGCCAAAAGTAGTTGACATGGTTAATAGAAGCAACATTCATTATAGAATGAAATCAGGATCAGCTTGGTCCTCCTTCACATCCCCTGTTCTTCAGTGTGGAGCTTCAGTTTTAGAAATACAACTTTCCAACTAGCCACAGCATGAGTGTCTCAGATCTTTGCTACCATCTTTGAGTGCTTTAACCTCTGAAGGATGAAGGGTATTTTGAGATGTGGCAAGTTTGCAAACAAGGCCTTTTTGGTACTTTTCCCATGCGTTCATTCTACCATAATTTCACATTATCCGATTTAAGTGCACCCACGCATGTATAATTTTTTTTTTTTTATAGGAGAAATAGGGTTCTCTTTTCATACCTTATACCTAGATGTATACATAAAGCAATATTAAAAAGGAATAAAATATTAAAAATAAAATTTAAAAAGTCTACACACCATGTGCAACTAAAGAAAGCCAACTCAAAATAGAATCACGAATTAGTCCTGATTATCAAAATGCACAATATTTTTATTAATATTTAGAAATGAATATTTATTTTGGGCCCGGAACTTGTCCCACTACTGTAAACAACCCCTATTTGTATTGTTACTGTTATTGACTACAATGACGTGTACCTATTCCCATAATCTTACACCTAATCCAACCTCTAATCCTACTCATTTTACTCCTAACATACCCCTAATCCCTCACCCAGTCTCACCTCAGGCGATGTTGGTACTGACAGTAGAGGGATTTCCTAGCTCACACAGTTTAGAGTACTCTGTTGGCACTCTACTGTGGGTTTGCAGCAAGTGAGTTAGATCTCCCTCTTATGCTGCAGCTCCAGGAACTGTGATCAGTGCTGGGCAGAGGACAAGCAGGAAGACCTCACCAGGGTATTTTCAGATTGTGGAGGGTCTTCCTGCTACTCTGACCCCACTGCAAATCACTGTGGCAGAGCGAGATTGCCCAGCTACTGTGTTTAAGCTCTTAATGACAGATGACG